ATATATATACATATTCGTGTCAATTTTGGTCTTCAAATTACCTTTGTATATAAATTGAAATTTCTCAGCTCAAGTTGATGTCAATTGTAGAAATTAATTGCTTTCTCAAACATTTCGTATCGTGGATGAATCCAATTAGTATCACAGCTTTGTAGTATTCTGTTTGTCTGGTTCATCAATATTTATTCTGTCTGTAGGGAAATATTCTTTATTGCGTATATGTATTTGTGCACATATTCGTATGCGGGTTGCATAGTACCTTCGTATCACCCACCTGTTTCCCCATCCATGCACACGTACTGACGTACCAACGTTGCGTGGGAAATCGGTTTATACATCTGTCCGTACAACCCGTATGAACATCGGCACTCAAAGTAACTCACATCCATACCTCAACAGCTGGTCCAGACATACACAACCGAGCCAACCAACGCCAAGCGTTACTCGCACTCCACAACGGCTGAGAATGGCAAGATAAAACCCAAGAAACGCAAGTCACGGAGTGCCCCCAAGTCCAAGAGTGTCAAGCGAAGGCGCGAAGGCGGCAGCACAGCCAAACACCTGGCCGTCAGCCCAGTCAGGTGGGTGTCAGGCTGTTACGGGAGATGAGAGTTGTTTTAAAAAAAAGTCACTCCCGAAGTTCGATCCGGTGTGTTCAGAGGGGTTACGGGTGGTATGCTGAGATGAGAGTTGTTTAGAAAGACACACCCGAACGGCTATGTCTAGTAGGTTGGGCTTCGGGGGTAAGCTTTATGTCTTCACTGGGTTAAGAACTGCTATGTACATGCGTCTGTAGCGTCAAGTGTGTATTACAATTGGCGTGTGTGTGAGGGGTGGCGTGTGTGTTGTTTAAGGGTCATGTTTCTGGTTATTTTTTCGTGTGAATACACACATAATAAGTGGACATACATAAATACATACATGATAAGTGTACATACTTACAACATGTGTACATGCATAAATAAATAATAAGTGTACATACGTAACACATACATACAGAAATATTAATTGTACATACATAAATTAATAATAAGTGTACATACAACATACATGC